CCCATTACTCCTGAAGAGGCATGAGAGAGGAGAGTTGTCCATCTGTGTTCCTGAACTGCAGGGGAGTCCTCCTGCTGTCCACTGAATGCATCACACACAGCTAGGTTGAGTTCTCAAGGCTGCCCACAGGTCACTGCCATAAACTCAATAGTCCTAAACATGTCACACCTGGCCAAAAATAAATATTTTACCATATGAAGCACCTGTGGCTCAGGAGGTAGAGCGGGTCGTCTAATCACAGGGTTGGCGATCCCCTGCTCCCCCTATCCTCATGTCGAAGTGTCCTTGGGCAAGACACTGAAGACCTGATGGTCAAGCCAGCACCTTGTATGGTAGCTCGCTGCCATCAGTGAGTGCGTGAATGAGAGGCAAATTATAAAGCACTCGGGATAACTCACCCTTTACTATCATCATTATGCTGATATTTACTAAGGCATGCACAGGCGCACGGACAGAACAATAAAAACATGTTATAATGAAACATTTGGTAATAGATGTCAGTTTTCAGAAGCTCATCATGTTGCTTTTCCACTGCATAACAACTTGTGTAATGTAGCAAGGGGAAAGCACAAGAAAACTTCACAGTTGACATAAGTAGAAATTTGCTTGCCAACATCTGAAACTGTCGCCGAAATGACCACTGACTAGACACCTCTGGAACTTCTTTCACATTTAAGGCCTAAAAGAGCAACATGATACATTTCTGCAAACTGCTATCTTGCAGGAAACGTCAGCATGATGGTAACGTAATCAAGATATTATACAACATATCCAGATAGCAGTATTTTAGAACTACAAGTGCTACTAAGGCTGCACTTGGTGATGTGTGTTATATCAGTAAAGCTCTTGTTAATGTGGATGAGGATCAACTTGTGACCACAGTTCTTCTTAACCAGTACAGTGTTCTTGTATTTTCCATATGATGTCATGCTTTTTTTAGACCTTCCCTTTAACACATTAGATTTATTATTATTAAATTACAATTTATTGCTTTATAACACAAACATGTACTAAAGAGACCATCATAAACTCAACATAAAATCAACATAAGATATCTAAAACATGTACAGATAATACAACATCTTAAAAAGTGACTGAAAGAATTAAAGTGCTGGTGTATTTATTGCTCTATTGCACTAAGATTCTGTTTTAGAGTTCAGCAGCTTGATAGAGTCTGGGATGAATGATTACTTAAGTTTGTTTGATTTACATCTTGGCAAATGGAATCTTCTCCCTGCATGGCAGAAGTTCATATTTAGGAAAGAGAGGATGTTGAGAGCAGAGCAGCATGATCTGGCTGCTCACTCCGTATAGTCTCATTACATAATTTTGACCGCACTTTCTGACTGTGCCAAGTGTAAATCACAATTACAAAGACAGCTACACCGCAGAGTCATATTAAGTTGGATATTCATTAGCAGTAAGTTTAAACATAGACTGACAATTACAATTTTATAGATGAGCATTTGTAGCAACATGACATACCTTACAGAGGTCAGACAGAGTCCAGACCAAGTCAAGACCAGTTGGTGCCATAATTAACTGGTGCATGAGCTGCAAGACACTGAACCACTACGTAATTGGTTGTGCAGTTAAGACTTATTTCATCTCATCAAATTGAACAAAACGGCACTTACAGAGGTTAACAGTAGTAATAATGCAACAGGCAATTACAACAACTCACACAGACCGGAAGATATGCAACATAATATCTGTTTAACAATTCTATAACTTCCTAACAACAAAAACCCACTAAAAGTCTCATCAAAAATAAAAGAAAATTAAATGCTAATTTGTTTTTGTTTTTTGCAGTGCTACTACATTTTTTCCCAAGAGGGCTACAACTGACAGTTATTTTGATTATTGATCAATCTTCCAATTTGTTCCCCATTAATAAATTAATTTATTACCAAATTGTGGTGGAAGAAGTACTTAATTCATTTACTCAAGACAAAGTTGCAATACAACAGTATAAAAAATACTCCATGGCAAATAGAAGTACTGAAGTATTGGCAACAAAATGTACATAAAAGTAAACGTATGACTACTGTGAATGTCATACTATTATATTATTGGATCATTATTATTGATGTATTAATATATAGGCAGCAATTTAATGTTGTCGTTCATCAAGGGAGCTAACATACTTTTGGTAGTTTAATCTGTCAGAATGGATCACATTTTATAAATATGTTTTGTACGTAAAATCTGAAAGGTAGGCTAAGTAGTGACACTAGCTATTTAATAAATGTAGTGAAGTGATAAGTACAATATTTATCTCTATATATATATATAAGTATCATAAAATGGAATTATTACAGTAAAATTAACTCAAAACTTTACCTAAGTGGGCTACAGTACTTTGTAAATGTACTTAGTTGCCTAGTTGAGAATGAACAAATCCTCACTAAGGAGATGCTGAGACTAAAAGGAATGTTTTAATTTCTGAAATTGTTTATCAAAATTGTCAAGTCTGTCAATTGAGTCATTGTGTTCAATTTATGAATTAATTTTTTAAAGGACACTTTGGCTGATATGAACCTGTGGCGTTTATCTGCAGTCATCCTGCTACTCAAATTATACCACCATCATCAACATCATCATCACCACCAACTCCTGACCTACAGTACCTCAAACAGTATGAGTACCCCTGCCATCAGTGTCTGCCCCCCACTTCCACATCACAACCCCGCGGGCTTTAGGACCTTCAGGATCGGCTCTCTGAGGATGGTCTTGTTTTTGTCCGTTACGTTCATGCATGTAATTATTGATTGTGCCTATTGTGACAGGCCGATTTACCATCTGTAGGGTCCCATGGGGCTGATACTCCTGTCACTGCAGTCTCCCTACAGACTTCAAGGAATTCCCCTGTAATTTCCGGCCGCAAATTTGAACCTCGCACGGGTTTCACGTAGAAGTCTGCCATTAAAAGTTAGCCTACCTGATTGTGTTTTTCATATCATCATTCATATCATTCAGGGAGATTCGTGTGATTCTTGACTGTCCTACTGAATTGTAAAACAGTTTAAAGTGAGATCCTATATCATTTGAAAGATCATCTAGAGATTGTTTGGTAAGTAAACAAATAACCTACAAATGAGAGCTGCTTTTCCACCTCACTCGTCCTTTTTATGCAAATGTCAGGATGAAAGCATCCTCTTAGACCTTCAGACATCACCAAATTCCTCGATATAGGCAAAGGTATAGGTTACAGTTTCTTTTTTGCTTCATGTGCAAAATAAGTTATTTGCATAGCCTACGACACAGTGACATGCTATAATGACAATCGGCAGATGGGATTGTTTCTCCTAACAATTCAGCTCGAGTGAGGAGGTGGAGACACAGTCATTTCTTATTTCTGGATGTGTGAATGTACCGTAATGCCTTAACAACCAGTTGTTGTTTTTTTCTGAAGTGGACCTGCTCTCTAGAAGGAGTGCGAGCCTTTGCCGCCTCCTGCTGCAGCTCACCCGGCCCCCTGCCCTCTCTACGCGCCTCCCCGGCACTTTTTCCCACTGCTGAGAGGAGCAGGACGCGGCCACAGCGGCGGGAAGCAAATTATCTGCAAACACTTCCCGAAAGTTCACACTCACACACACAGATGCCACCACAAGTAGCGACTCACGCCGTCTTAGACCTGATCGAGGGAGCTTCCTGGGAATAACCTGACAGGAGGATATAGTGGAGCAAAGCGGATGTTTTACGTTCATTCTTCCTTTTTTGATCAAGTCAGGTGCTTTTTCCCCCCGGTGGCTTTTATTACGCTTAATCTGGTATTATTTTAAAAATACTCTAAAATACTAGATTTTTTTTTGCCTTACTAGTCTAAATAGCCTCAACAGGATTTAGGCCTGAACTCGTGTGACCTATTTTGTGTTTTATTGAGACGTAGGCTACCTGCATGTCACTGGAGGAACCAGCGCAAAGGCAGACAGAAAATGTTCTTTAAATATGTAATATCTCTTTAACAATCATCAGTAAAAGGACTAAATGTCTGAGTGGAGTATGGCCTGACTTTTACTGCTACAAACTTCATACGTTTGGCTGCTGCTGGTGTCAGCGCAGGAGCGTACTGTGACACCAAATCCACCGAAAATACAGAAAAATAAAATCTCCACATCGTTACTCCTGCACTTGTTGTGGGAAGTGTGGTCGGGACTGGAAACAGGCACTGCATTAACAGCAGCTGTCAAACTCATGGGATCCTCCTGCCGCCCGGCCGATTGGGAGCTCTGTTGAAGTCTCCACTGCGCATGTCAGAGCGCTGGACAGCTCCAGAGAGGGAAATTTAAAAACGGTTTTTGGAGAATCAAGTGCAACATAGTGAAATACAGTACAGGGGCTCGAGACCGGCTCACACATTCTTCAAATCTCATCAAAAACAGGTATTTTTTTTATGATTTCTCTCTTTCAGCATCATAGTGTTTGTCGGATTGTTATTTTATGAGAACACAGACATTTTACTCATTTTTAACTATAATTTCTGTGTAGGCATGCTAAATGATAAGCCATTTAAACCTCGGCTGAGTTCATGTAACCAAACTGTTGTGTAAACATTTGGACTGAATGCTTATTGAATACAAGCTTTCTTATTCTATTTATAAACATGTACCTATTTCTTATGAATAAGAACAGGTTAAGGGGAACAAAAAGCATTCAAACCGTGAAATGGGCTCCAGCTACAACAAAGGCATACTGATGCCAAATAGACAATGTATTCACTACTATTCATTCAGTTTTGAAATTTGTTTATAGTTGTGTTAAATTTTGATTGCACCTTAAATTTGAGTTTTAAATGTTTGCTTTTCATGCAGCAATTTTATATTTTTTAGAAATAGCACATGTTCCACAATGTTTATTTACTAAAGAAGAACAATATTTGAAGCAATTTTTAAATACTGTAATACTTCCTTCTGCATGGTTTGGTCTTTTCAGTTTGAATACTCACTGGGGCATAACATCAAATGTGTTCATTTGATTTATTTTGATTGCAGCGGTACCACACATCCCAGGAAATGATAGAAGGTGGAATTACATCCAGGATGTCAGGAATAATTGAGAATGCTGGGCATCATCCGTCTCCACAAGATTACAGGTAAGCCTACGACTTCAGATTTACACCATGTTCAGCTATATTAGGACAAAAAGTTACAGAATCTTCTAGCATGAAACAACATATTATTTTGTGTAGCATGTTGTCAAAAAACAGGATCAAATCTGAGGTGCCTCAATAGATAAAAGGCAGATTTTGTATTAATCAAACCCTTTAAGGTGTTTCCCAAAGGGTCATGGAACAAATTGTCTTAACCCCACTATGTTTCATCTAAAGGTGGATGGACAGCTCTTTTTGTGCATGGGGGGTTTCGTGAAAAAAGAGAGAGAGAAAAAAAAATCCTGAAGAATAAATGATTTTCATTCTGAATGGATCTGTCAGAAACCATCAGCTCTGTTTACACTCCCGCTGTCGGCACACGGAGAGCCTGAGCCTCTTGGCCTGCCGGCTCAGGGGGAGACTGGGCTCTCTGGGTCACCAGTATGCACAAGTGGCTCCCAATTAGACAAGGAGGGAAGAGGAGAGGGAAGGCGGGAGGAGGAGGTGCAATATTTAGTGTAGTTGAACCTCTGGGAAGGCTCGATGATACATGGAGACACCAGCTCAACATGTTTTGCATCAGTGAACAATATCTATGCTGCTGGTAGAGAGAGAGGAGGGGAGGTGGGAATACTCCCCCATGTGTCATCTATTCTAGTTTCTATCAGAGTGTGCTAATTGCGACCTTGAATAGATTTGTGAAGCAAAAGTGTAAAAGACTGGCGATGGCAAATATTGTCAATAGTTCTAATTTACTTTGAGTGCACCTGCTTTTGCACTTTCAAAACCTTTGGACCTTTGGACCTTTTATTCACCAATGCTTTTTACGCTTGAACAATATTTCTTCATTTAGTCAGAGGTGAAAAAAAGCAGAAGAAAAGAATGAGAGTCTCACAAAAGGTACAGAGATATTGTGATACCTTACCTTAAACTTCACAATGCCATGTGCTTCAAAAAGGGCGATCATAAACAATCATTTACAGGTACATGCAAGGTGTTTGAGAACGTGTGCGGCTGATTCCTGGCTGCGCTGATGTCACTTATTCAGCCAGCAGACACAGAGCCCTGACCTCAGACTACACTGGCACTCCCTCTGGCCCGAGGCTCTGTTGATTTCCCCATTTAGGGAGGACAGGGGTGATGGTGGGGGTGGGTTGGGGGCAGCAGTGAGGATAGAGACTGGAAAGGGACAGGGAAGCAGATGGCATCCTATTTGTCCCTCTTATGTGAGGGCTGTCATTCCAACAGATTAATGCAAGGGCCAGGGTGAAGAAAAGAAATGACAGAGACAATCAAGGAAGGGTCTGGAGAAGACAATGGAGCCACGTGCCACTGGGCAGATTTGTCGTTTGGAACACAATAGGTGATCATTTTTCAATAGACAAGGCCAACTGTTGCAGGCAACATGTGCTGCTGTCCCATGTTTCAAACGATCTCATGCGTTGTTTACTTATGATTCAGCCAATGGTTAAGGCGAGACCATGGTCACCTGACACGTTTGATTTTTTTTATTAGGAGATTTGGGGTGTGTGTGTGTATGTGGGGGGGTTGTGCTCCTACACTGTCTACAGACACACAAAGTAACTGAATAGTATGTGTTGTCATAGCGACCCCAATTACGAAACCCTTGCACATTAAGTGTGTGAGCGCACAGAGAAGACTGGAGAGGATTCAAGAGGATTCCTCTCTTTTCTTTCTTTCTCTTCCAGGCTCCCTACATAAAAGACGTAATGACTGAAAGCTGATTGGTGCTGGCAGTGCACTGGTTAAACAGAAAGCCTACATTTATTCCACTTTCTAGCACAACATTTATAAAATCAAGAGGTTAGAAATATATTTAATGTGAACTTTTCTATTTTTTTAATTCTTAAATTGCTATTATGAACTTATTTTATTTTTCAAATTTGTATTTAGAATCAGCAAATAAGCAAACACGTATAAACTGTAGAAGAAACAAAGATCACTCCTAGAAAATCTCAAAAGCTGATTTATTCTGAAGGGAAAGCTTGTTTAACTCCCACATTGTTGATTAAAACTGTCACTGCTAATAACACTTGTAGTTAATCTTCTTATGGTAAATCCTGAATGGCATAGCTAATACACGGCTTTCATCTCCGTTTCCTCGCATTCAGAATCATTACAGTGGTTCTGACTTTGACGGACAAAATGTTCTATCAAGTGTTTAGATTCAAATTCCACTTGCCGTCTATGTGTGTCTGAGCCGACAGCCGTGTTAACCCCCCTCTTCAAAACCTCCCCCCACCCTCTTCTTCTCTTGAAGGCTTCTGACCACGGACCCCTCCCAGCTGAGGGAGGAGGACCTCCCTGGGGACCTGCAGTCTCTGTCATGGCTCACCTCTGTGGATGTGCCCCGACTACAGCAGATGGCTGATGGCCGAGGCCACAGTAACGGGCCCTCCCAGGGCAGCTTGTTGGAGCAACAGACAGGTGAGGTGACAGGGAGGGGACAGTGCGACATTCAAAAAACGGATCATTTCTCTGATTGGATAAATCAGGGCCAGCTGGGTACTTTTGGATTTCTGTCCTCTGCAGATATAAGACCTTTATCCTGAAAGATAAAGACCAATGAATATACAAGACAGGGTCAGTTAATCTCAGAGATTCATCCATTAGGACAGTGTTGGTGGGATTCACTGAGGTTTGAGAGATGAGATTTTGCTCACTTTATTATTGTCATAAACAGATCAAAGTGCAAACAACAATCAGCTATACAAAAACCCACCAAGAGCTTAAGTGTTCAAACACAATGATATGGTAACTTACAAGACTTTATATTGAAGAGTTTAATTTCCTACCACTTTCAACTCTCTGGTTTCTTTGCAGAAGAATGAAAGTCTGTAAGCGGTTGTAAGTAGCCATATCATTCTGAGCACTGCAGGCGAGGAGAGAAATAGATCTGATAAAGTTTTTCGGTGAACTTTCCTTTAATCTAATAACAGTCTGGCTGCTCCTTCTCACAGCTCAGCTGAACAACATGACGATGACAGCGGGTCAAGGCTCCATGCTTCACCTCCAAAGCAACATGCAGCACAGCCCTCTGGGAATCAGCATCATCAACACGCACAGTGGAAGCGTGAGTTTTAACAGCATTGCAAGAAAAATAGTTTTATGATGCCTATAGGGTTGATTGTCAAATATACCTGTGTCTGTTTCGCAGATGTCTCCGTTCTCCATGAATGGGTTGCCCTCTCCGGGATACCAGTGCCCTACCTCAGTCTACCAGCCTGCACCCCAGCAGGTGTACTCTCTAACCCAAACTGGACAACAGGTACCAAACTTTAAGCTAATAAAGAGCCTGATTGATCAACAGTTAAATGGTCCTTTCACTATATTTCTTTTTTCCCCCCTTCTATACTGACAGTGTAATGCTCAGAGGCTTTAATGATGTAGGCCATTAAACAATGACCTCTTTGCTAATAGTGTAATATGTGTGTATTATTATTAAATCTCCATTATTGGGGCTGTGCTTATTACTGAGCCTGTACTGTTGTTGGTGGTTTTCTTCAGCTTTTTGTGTGAATTGCCTACATGGCTACATACCTACACCTCTGTGTTCAGTGCTACTTGATAAAAACAAAAACATAAAACTGTGAAAATGATAACGTTCCTCATCATTCTCCATCTGTTCTTGTAGTGTTCAACCGGTGGGCTTTACAGCAATGTCTCTTTCAACAACCAAAGTCTATTCACACAACCTCGCCTGGCTCCACAAGAACAGGAGCTGCAACCCAAGTCTTTCCCCAAGCCAATCTATTCCTACAGGTAAGACCTCACTTATTTAGCCAATAATGAAAAATAATATCCACCAAATCTCCCAAACTTTCTTTAGTGTATTTCATATTATCTGCTTTGAATAACTTGAATAATTTTAATGGTGTGTTTTTTTGTTTTTTGTTTTTTAGCTGTTTGATTGCCATGGCTCTGAAAAACAGCAAAACTGGCAGCCTCCCAGTCAGTGAGATCTATAGCTTTATGAAGGAACACTTTCCTTATTTCAAGGTATGACACTCTTAATATTAAAGAAAGGGGCTAAATGAAAGGGTGCATGTAACGAATGTCACTGATTATGCGCCGCCTCTCTCTCTGCAGACTGCCCCTGATGGATGGAAGAATTCAGTCAGACACAACCTGTCCTTAAACAAATGCTTTGAGAAAGTGGAGAACAAGATGAGCAGCTCATCCCGTAAGGGCTGTCTATGGGCGCTGAACCCTGCCAAAATTGACAAGATGGAGGAAGAGATGCAGAAGTGGAAACGCAAGGACCTCCCAGCCATCCGCCGCAGCATGGCTAACCCTGGTCAGTAATGTATTTTGTTAAATGTAAAAGGTCTTCTGCCGAACCAGATTATGAGTCACCAAAAACTGACAGTGTTAGTCTGATAATAAGTCTTTCCCCCGCAGACGAGTTGGACAAATTGATCACAGACCGCCCGGAGAACTGCAGACGTAAGGCTTTAGAGGCCGGCATGACCCGGCTGCCCAGCTGTCCAACTGGCCTCCAGATGCCCATCACAGCCCAGATGCAGCCTCAACCTATAGTCACGCTTTCCCTGCCCTGCTTACCCATGCACCAGCACCACCAGCTTCAGGCCCAGCTCCAGGCTCAGGCCCGCCTGGGCCCCATGTCCCCTGCCCCGGCCCAGACACCTCCCCTTCACGCGGTCCCTGACCTTTCCCACAGTCCACTCACCCAGCAACCGAGCCAGCCGCCAGACGATTTCTACAGTGTGCATAGTGATACACACACAGAGGTGGATGCACTGGACCCTAGCATCATGGACTTTGCCCTTCAAGGTAAATAAATTTTTAAGGGACATTTTTTTTGTTTGCTAGTTAATTTAAGTTTTGTTGCATCAGTACACTAACCTCTCTATCTATCTGCTTAGGTAATCTGTGGGAGGAAATGAAGGACGACAGCTTTAACCTGGATGCCTTGGGTACCTTCAGTAACTCACCTCTCCGACTATCAGACTGTGACTTGGGAACAGCCAACCTCCCTCCTGTCTCCACTGGAGCAAACCTGCCGCTGTCAGATGTGCAAGTGACAGGCCTTTACACCTCCTACACCTCCCAGGATCCCTTGTCTTCCCAGTACATGGTCACACCAGCCAACAGCAAGCCTATTGCGCTGTTATAAAGCAGGTGTTCTGTCACCCTGATTTATTCTTTGGATATCTGTGGACTCCACCTGAAGAAGAGGTTTGAGGTCAAAGTCTGAATTCTGGTTTCATGTGTGCTACTGAAAGTACAAATCACACTGCTTTCCTGCAGTCAGCTGGGAACTACTTGGAGAAGGATGTTTTAAAATCATTTCACACAAAGGCCACAAGAAAACTGCTCATTAAGAACTAAAACTGCTGATAAATAAAGAGGTGGCGGTGTGAAAATGTAAGAAATAAAATATCTAGCTTTGCCAAGCAAAGACTCAAAAGCCTGTACCAGTTCAAAGACTCTATGTGGAGATGTACGTGTAAGTTAGCATCCGGCAGTTTTTCTACTGTTCACTCTGCGTTTTAAAGCCCTATCATATTGTAGCTCCCCCATCTCTTGTCTGTTGTATTGTGTTAGATATTATTGATGTGATGTTTTATTTATATTTATAAAAGGCAGCTGGAGAAGGTGATGACTCTATCAATCTTTTGCTGTATATATTTGAATGTTTCAAACTGCTATTGCCACAGAAAAGCTTTCTTTCGACTGTATTTACCCACTTCTCTCCAAAATGCCGATGTGTGCCAACACTTTGAGTAATCCGGATTTTTACACATTATTCTTTTACACACTGTGATTAACGTGTCTCAAAGTCAGATGTAAATTATGTTCATTAACTTGATCATAATGAATCGAATGGGTAAATAAAAGACGTTTCTTTTGCCAAAAACATATCTCAATGACATTTATTAACAAACAGTCCTTTGTAGAACACAAGATCCAGGAAAGTGTTTATATACATTCAAATTAAATGTCATGGCTGATATTCTGATCAGAGGTAAGGCGAATGAAGCAGCAGTTGGGGGACCACTTTGATGACTGTTGTCCACCTTTTGTGAAACTCAATATCATAGATATACCAACAAAAACAAAAGCAAAGTATTACATACGCTGTCACAGTCTCTCCTACCATTCATAACATTGTCTTAGCACAAAAAAACACTACAGCCTACGTACACATCAGACTTAAAATAACAGTGAAAAGATGGACTGCACTCATGCAAACAGCTTATTAGAATAAAAACTCATCTGCTTCTTAATTTGCATTTCTGCATGACAATACTGGTATAAAAATCCATATCTATATTTAGCCAAAGCAGAAATTACACAGAATGGATAGACTTCCCCATTTTCTGGCTTAGAAATTAGCCGAATTAGATCAAAATTGATAAAGAATTGACTAGTTGCTCAAGCTACATTCAAAGATGAACACTTTTCTTTATTTAACACCTTTAAGTGAATATGATAACGAGCACCAAAATATTAAGTCTCCCACTTTACGCTTCAACCTTGTGTACTGTAACTCTGGCCTCAATGGACTGCACAGAGCCAGCAAAAAAAACACTGACACACCTTTGTGTACAAATACAGCCAAGTGAAATGTGCGTTACAATCATAGTTTGTGAACCAGAAAGTTCCTGGACTGGGAAGCTGAAATGACTGCTTACCTCCCAATTGTAAAAGACAAACTCTGCCTGTCAGTCAGTAGTGGACCGGATAATGACATCCCACCAAAGACGCCATACAACAGCAATGTTAACAACAGACCAGTGTAGTGGTTTTGTGATCACTGAGGAATAAGTCACTTTGTGCATGTGTGCATTATTGCAAAGAATTGCCCATTTAGCTTTAAATTGTGCACCTACAATTAATAATAGTAATAATATTTTTTCAACTAGAACAGAGCTTTTGTTCTTATTAATAACACAACCTGATAAAGCTCATGAGCTTAACTGGTGCTGGTGCTGTCCATAGTGGCGAGCAGATGCGAGAGCTTAGCCCTCTGGGACGGAGTAATATTCTGGCTCATGTGGATGATGCAGTCCATGGTTACGTCAGGGTTGGCCTGCACCAGGCTGGAACACAAGCAGAAAATTATAACACAAACATGCTGCAATAAATTATTTTAAGTGGTGAAAATGCAGAGAGAGAGAAATTGGCCTAAGCTGGTCTGCAGCATATTCTGTCATTTCTGTATATCGGAAACTCACCTGTGGTTGCACACCATCATCATGACTCCATCAATTTTAACATTACCCTGACAGGCCCAGCATGCATTTCAGTGAGGTTTCACTTATAGGATCCTCTCAACTGCTTAGAATATAAGGAAACCTTTGATTCATTTGCACTAAATACGTTAAGATGAAGATATACGATCAGAGTAGCGTTGAATTCTTTAGGCCATTTTAGCTAAACATGACCAAACTCATTGTGGCTCTTTTGACTAGTACTCAGGTTTATGTCTACAATGTAGCTCTGTAACATAAAAGCTAATAATCCACAGCTAAAATCCATTTAAGATTGATTAAAATGTGACACATGGATTTTTGTCACCGATAAGATTATGGCAATGAAAATAAGCATTATCCCAAAATGTGTACCTGCGGATGTGTTTCAAAGTGTTTTCTTTTTTTAGGTACTTGATGTTCTCTTGGATGGCGGATCGAGTACCATCCTCCTTGGACAAATGCTTCTCCAGCCACTCAACTACTGCTTGGTTGTTATCCCAGAGGTAGGCCTGGAAGAGCACACAGAAGCACCTTTAAATCTCTGATCAGTTTTAACAATGAAGTGCTCAAAAGCAACCACATAATATGTGGACCAGAGGCAAAAACTGAAACAGGATCGCATGTACAGTTGTACATGCAACAAATATTATCTTTACCATATCTTACATTCTGTAACTGTTGATAATGTTCACAGTAATTAACAGGGGTAAAAGAAAATAGCCTCACTTTACAAGTATAATATCACACACCCATTGTCCCATGCCCTTAAAATTAAAAAACAAATGTACTTTTTGCCAACATTTGACATTTATTCACAATGTTTACACTGCATTTAGAGTATTAGCAGAGACCATCTTCTCTGACTGTCGTGACAAACCTTGACTGTTCCTTCTGTTTCAACAAACCAGCGCCGTAGCATGGAGTGCATGTGTCCGTCACTGAGGTCTTTGTTGGCCTGCAGAATCTCACACTTCACCACCTGCTCCAATAGGAGGCGACGCAAGCGCCAGTAGAAGAAGGTCCGCACATTCTTCCAATCCAAAATATCCTGTTGGGAGTATCAAAGGGAACAGATAAATGCATAAATCGCCCCTAAATACAAGTTTATGATCTACACCCAATGTTACGCACATATTGACAGTCAAAGCAGAAGACTGTTCATTAAGGGCTCACTCACAGTGATGACGCCCTTCTCCTGCATCCTGCCTGGTGTGTCATGGAGATCTACAAACTGCACTGCCACCTGGTGGTAGATGGGCAATAGGAATTCCTCCCTTGCTTTGAGCTTACACTCCAGCTCTCGGCACTGTTTGTCAGATAGCTCTGGGGAAGCTGATGAAAACAAAAGTGCTCTGAGTGACTCGAAGACTCGTCAGCAAGGTTATGAACACCCTAGCTGTGTTACAATTTAAAGGAAAATAATTGCCAGTGATTGTGTGAGAAAGAAATAACATTTACCAAGCTGCTCAGCGAGACTAGCATAGACTGAATCTAGTCTCCTCATCGTCTTCAGCAGGTCTTTCCTCCTGAATTTGATCTCCACTGTACCCTCAGCCTCCAGCACACCACCTCTTACCATAGAAAGCACAGCAACAGGGAGACAACCGAAAGGACAGAAACTGGTTATTCTCTCTCACACACACACACACACACACACACACACCTGTTGCCTAGGCCGAGAACATCATAAAGTAACTAATAGAAAACATGATTGTTTCATGTACCTGCTCTCCCTGTCTGCATAGAGCTCCATACACAGAGGGTTGATGGTGGGGTCTATCACTACCCATGAGCCTCCTCTCAGCTCAGCGTGTGGTGGGATGTACACCAGCACTGGCTGGCGGAAACTACGCAGGGCGTCAACGATATAGGCCCCAAACTTCAGTACCTGGTCATACATATCTGAGAGCGAAAACATAATTTTTAATTTAATAACAAAAGCTCTTGCATGTAACGCAGTCTCTCTGCAAAGTTTAGTATTCGTCCTATACCCTTCATTCCACCAGAGAAGCCTCTCCAGTTGGCAAACACCATGAGAGGCAGATGTTCAAGGTTGAAGTCACAGATTGCCTGAGCTGTTTTAAACGCAGAGTCTGGAAACCACACCTGGCCAGCCTGCTGTAGAACCTGACATGAACACCGGGGGAGATGAGCTGAGCTGAAATACTGTGATATAATGTGTTCTAATCACAAACGTGGTGGTGAGAATTACTCACTTTAGATTCTGAATCCAGGTTGGCTGGGTCTGCCGGGACTGTGAACTCAACTGTGCGTGTTTCGACAGCAATGACACCAAGGGGAATTCCTCCTAAACTGTTTTCATTCAACAGAGTTATTAATCGATTTCCGTAATTACCTCTGTAAGTTTTAAATAAAAAACCACAATATTTTATATGTACAAACATTACCGTGCTCTGCCTACTACCACTGTCTGAGCCCAAGACTCCATGATCTCCATGAAAGAGCCGTGGTCAAAGAATCCACTTTGCCAGGCACCTCTCACCGCTAATGACACAAAGGCAGAAAAAAGAAAATGAAGCAGAGTGATTACATCTTGTTTAGATGTTTAAATGACATCTTGACACTCACTGGGGTGAGGTCTCCCAGCCAGCATCCAGCGGGGATCATAAGGTGCTTTTGTGGGAGTATATTCTATCTCTCTATCCACTGGATCTAGAGTTGCTATAACAGGAACAGGGGAGTGATTATTCTGTGAAGAGAAGAGGAACTACAGTTAGTGATCTAAAGGGTTCAGTTACTTTTATAGCACTAAAAGTCACACAATATGAATTTTTACACATTCAGCCAAACCTTTGGCATATAGGAGAGCCACTGGAGTATGGTGAAGACGCCCTCAAAGTCATCAGGCACAGTGCTGTGTGTGACTCCATTATTGTGCATGATCTGGACCCCTCCCAGCTGGTTGTTGGAAGTGTAGACCTCTGTACCCAAAACCTGCACAGAAACAGGAACTTCAATGACCACAGTCAGAGCATTTGTCCACAAATGTGCCCACAAAATGAGCAGGTTCTCATCTGCCCGCAACATTTCTTTTCAAACTGAAGTATAAAAGTTGCTTCTGACCATTTTAACCTGAAGACATCAGTATCCATTAAGGCCAAAAAGATGTACAGAACACAGAATAAAATAATCTCTCTTTTGATTGACTTTGTCTTCAGCATATTTTGCCAGTTATTCTCCCAATTTGCCTAATTGCTTTTTGTTTGTCTTCATTACTGCACATAATTGCTCCAAACCAACCCACAGATGATGACATACACAACAGATGGCATGCATTGCTTAATATCCGTAAAAGCCAAACAAACCAGGTCTAACATAACAGATGTGTTTATTTTAAGGACTTTAATAAATATTGTCTATTCATCAATAACAGTGATATTGGTTAAACCAACAAACCTTGTTAAGAGCACCCGCTCCAGTCAGGATAATGTGAGAGTTTTCCACCTGAATCACTCTCTGTCCCAAACGGACCAGATAGGCTCCAATTCCAATAGCGCGACATGTCACCTGCAAGAGCAGAAAAAGTGTCTCACATCCCAGAGGTTCACATGGTGTTCTGGTTCTGCTCAGAGAAATCAGATCCACATACTCACCATACTAATTGTAACGATCTCCTCATAGGCCTGAGAGGATTCTCCAGCAATGGTGCCAGAACCTCGCAGGTTCTCTACCCCAAGACCATCGTCCTTCCCAATGATGTCAGTGATGATGTACCTGTAACAGAGAGGCATAGTGAAAAATCAAATCTCTATTATCCCACAGACACAAGTTATGGGTGTCAAATATTTTAACTAAATTTGCTACATTATCAGAACAGACAACCAAATATCTGCTGTACCTGGACTCTCCACCTTCCTCTACATGGTGACAGTGAACAGCATTGGTGGAGCTGATAAGTGTGTAGTCCTGAGGTGTCAGGTATAGGTACTTGAAACCCTATAGAGAAATGGAAATAACTTTTAATAAGAAATATCAAACAGCACGCACATATTGCTACAGTTCCCTGTGGTCATCCAAATATCAGGAGAAGCATGTTTTAGAGGTCACCTTGTAGGGGTCAGCGGGGTCAATCCAGGCCACCTGGAACATGTGTTTGATCTCTTCAGCGAGGCCGATTCGTGCTCCACTGTTGGCTGCGATGTAAATACGGGGGAGGCCCTCAGCCCGAGCCAACTCAGACGCCCTGAGGAACAGCTCATCCTCTTGAGGACCAAATGAGCCGATCATGTGAGTGATGTCATTACTGATGACAATGATTTCTCTGCCCTCTGGGTACTCTGGGGTCTTCATCTTCATCCTGAAGGCAACCATTCCCACCTGATGAAGAATGGTTACAGTAGTTACCAGAATCATCACACTGGTATATCATGAACTGACATAAATGCTCTAAAAAGCGTCCTACATCATTGTCTCCAGGCAGGCGGTTCATCTGCACGAGTCGACCTTGAGGGTCCAGAACCAGCTCGGTGCACATCAGTACGTCTTTGGGTTGTTTTTCACCTCGACCCCACATTTTAAACAGTGCCTACAGGAAGATTTTCAGTATGTGTCAGATACCTTTATTTTAAAAAGGAACCTAATTCTGTGAGTTAGCAGTACCTGTCTGAACATCTCTGGGAAGTCATAGACATATGTAGTCCCCAAAGTTTGAGCCTGGAAGCGCTTGGCCTGCAGCAGGTCTTTGGTCACATACGGAGTATTGATCAGCATGCCATGCAGAGGACCCTGTTTATCTCCATATGACTGGAACATGATCTAAAAAGACACAGACATTGAGGTGAATTAGTGATAAAACAACCAGACAGAACAAATCTCCTGCCACATACCACATCTTTTGGATCACATGTAATTGCAAAAATTGCTTGAAAGAGGGTGCCTCAGTCCACTGTCCACACCTGTCTGGAACATGGGTCAGTAACCTCTTTGTACAGGCTGATGTCCAAGTAATAGCCAGACTCATTTGTGATAAACAGGCGGATAGGAACGGCATTTCCAGTTGGTGTCAGACGGATATTGATCTTCAGCTCAGCCTGCAGGACGCGCAGCTTCCAAAGACGGCTGCCGTAGCGCATCACCATGGAGCGAACAGACTCCTCTATCTGGGGGAGCCAAGAAATAGACAAAAGACCAATGAGAAATCTAATATAATCCAGTACTATGGTAGCATATATGTGCTGGACACTGACTTTAGAGGGGTCCATAATGACGGTGGGTACGAAGTTAAGGAAGATGTGGTTGCAGTCTGTGCGGACACTGGTGTTACTGAAGGCCACCTCCAACTCATCCATGGCCTCTAACAGAAGACGTTCTCCCTCATTTTGGAGGTATTCAAAGGAGGCTTCCTGGTTGGGTATAAACAGAGTTTTTATTTCACCAAAATAACATTACCACTGACCAACATTTTCTTTAATCAGGCAGTTTATTAACCTTTCACCCTGGGAAAACAGTCAATCCAAAATAAACACAACAAGCACTAACAAGCTATTTTTTGCACTCTTTTTAAAGAATCAATAAGCTGTACATTTCAGTTGCTCTTCTAACCTTTGTAATGAGATCTGAGTGGCGGATAATAGCTCGTATGAAGAAGCGGTAGTCTGTGACTTCAGCACCCTCCTGCACACGAGCAGCACCGAGGTAGAGGTGCATCTTGTGGTTGGCACACGGAACGGCCGTCAGGTCAAAGTTTCTCATCCGGTTGAGCTCCAGCTGAAATGCTAACGCTGGCTCCAGATTACGGTAAATACGATCCTCCTGGAACTAAAGAGAGGCACAGATTGGAGGGGTCATCATCTCTGGAGGCTGCAGCATATCTAATCTTGATATGATTATCAATTCTATGATCATCGGATTTTGTAAAGTTCTATTAAGAAAAACTTACCCCATCTCTAGCTCTGAAAGTGAAGAACTTGGGAAATTCTCTCTGTTTAAATGATATATCACAATAATAATATCAGATCCCTTTTTTCATTTTAATTATGAATCTGCCTGTCTGTATAATTTGTATATGACACAGTGGGCCAAATGAAAATGTAATTGATTGTTGTTGAATTACCTTCTGTGCAACCAAAAATGTGATTCTCCTGATTCCATACTCAAAGAGCACAGCTTTCTGTAAAAAAAAAATAATAATAAAAACATTTTCAGTTTTCTAAACAAAAAACTGAAACAAATATCTCACATCCATGTGTTCAGAAGCTAGCTGACCTTTGACTGTGCAAAGGCAGTGAAGGCTGTAACCAAAGCATCGTCATCTTCTGTATCCGCTGTTTTTATGGACACATTAATGATGTGGATTGGGTTCTCCCTCGTATTCTTTAGGGGATGGAAGAGAAATTGGTGAAATGAATTTAAGCTTTTTTTGATAAGCCAGTGAGCCCACACACCCTCCACGCTCACCTTGAAGTTCTCCTCCTCATAGAGACTGGAGCAGGACTCTGAGAACGGAGCACTCTCCAAGAGTGGTTCTGCAAAGCTGAAGAGAACTTCATCAACATTCCTGCCAAAGAAACACATCAACATGCAATAACTTGTTTTAACTTTGATCTACATATCTTTACCATCAATAAATAGGAGCGAAAGGAAATGTATCATGAAGTTAAAAGTGACCTTTTAAAGTCATCAAAACACTGGAAAGCTACCATGGCGCCCATTCGCTGGCAGGGTGGAGACAAAGCTCCCTCCATAAAGAGGTCACTGCTCTGTCGCCTCATTTTAAACTGGCCTGATCCACTCACTGGCACAGGAACCCTGATAATGAGACACACAGACGATGACAGCAAGATGGGGCCACTGAATGATCACATGGAGAGAGGTTTGCTTTGGCAAAAGATACTTAACAGCCAAAAGTACACATATTCATTCAGAGAGCAATTAAAGCAAGTCTGGATGTTCTTCTCTATTTAATATAAAGCAACCAAGTATGACCACCCTCATGTCCAATTATGATTACAGTTGATGGGTACATTTCATGTACTGAATTGAAAGGGATTATGAATTGTTATAAAGCACAATTGTTTCTATATCTGATTGAGAGTCCCAAATCAAGAATTAAAATCTGATGCTGGAGAATACAGGCTCCCCATTTGGTAGCAGGCAATGAAATCTCAGACTTGAAGTTTTTAAGAGGAACATGGAATAAATCAAAGATGTAACCTCTCAAAAAGCTCAGGTCTGATTTACAAGTTGATAGAAGCAACAAAGCTCAGCTATAAAGTGAATTAAGAAGGACTTGTTAGAAGAGTCCTTAAGCAAATGTTTCGGCTTACACAGGACAGAGGGGAAACAACACAACGCATTCGACATGCATAGCTCTGACACATACACACGGTTGGGTGGTTCGGATGGTTGGGAGGAGCTGTACTCTACCTGTTCAGAGTAGGGCTGCTCCCTCTGAAATAAGATGATTGACAGGTGAATATCAGCAGTGGATGATCAAACTGCACTTCTACCTCAAGGCATTATGATTAGATTAAAGCACTTTACGACACGCTACGCACATTCACATTAATGTTCAGTGAGTAAAACCATTCTTCATTCAAAGCTAGCCATAAGCAGTTACAGCAGCAATTTAGAGGCCGCTCTCCACCTGTACTACTTAGGTACAGGGTAATTGGTTTATCATTTATCTTCATTGATCCATCAGGCTAATGTTATAGAGAAGAAGTCTAGTGAAGGGTGAGAGACACTTGCAGAGTGTTTTGTATGGCCTGGATTTCTTTATAAATAGCCACAAAGTGAGGTATTTTTCTATGAAAAGGATGTTTATTTGGTTTAATGAAATCTTGCTTGATCAGTGGAAGCACCCTCTGCCAGCGTATATATGTGTCTAATGCTGGACATGGCTTTGATTCACCAGTGACTCAATAATTAGGCAACGACGCTCTACCCATCTGTGACTGAAGAGCCTTTGCAGTGTAGTCCAGTGAACGAAACTTGTTACCTGTTTGGGTGTGACGACGGCAGCATAAACTGGAAGTCTACAGCACACGTTCCATCCTGCAGCTGGTGATGCTGGATGCTGTTTAGCTCATAGGCAATGTAAGCTCTGCGCACATACACCTGAAAGCCAATATGGAGGCACAAGTCATTATCAATTATTAAAAAAACAAATGTATATATAAAAAAAAACTTCTTAGTGTGAATCCACCGAGCATACCTCCAAGGCAGCCATGCAGACAACTTGATTTGAGTGATAGAAGAAATTGGGCAAGACATCAAAAATGGAGGTTTCAGAGAGAATTAGTTTCTGTGCCGAAGAAAAAGAAATTTTCATTTCATGTTCCAGCTGCTACAAATTGATAACAACGAAATGTCTCCACAAAAAGCTAACCTTCAAGTTTTCTGGACAAAACTGGTGGCCGTACAAGTCAATGGCTGACAGGAAGATGGACTCCACCTGGTTGTGCCTCAGTTCGTATGATGGTAAATGGGAGGCAATCAAGACCTATGACACATTTACAGATATAATATATTTTAATCAAGTCTATACAGATGGAATAACCTGACTGTAAAAAGACTGCATCATTTCTTGACATTTAAGAAATCACACATTTTAGAAAAGAATATCACTTGAATCCAACTTGAGGTGTCCTCTGTGCCAGATTACCTTAAACACTATATTCAAAACAGACTTCTTAGATGTTACCTGTCTGGCTCTCAGTGCCACCTTTGAGTTCTCCATCTTGCCAAGCTGCGTGAGCTCGTTCAAAATGGCCATCAGCTCATCTGCTAGCATGGAATCCCTTCCACACAGTTGGTCCTACACAGTGTACAAAGTGTCTTTTACTAAAACGTACGTGTTGTTTTAGTATCATTGTTTCATTTATGCTTGCCATTTTTGAGCTTGATGAACTCCTTACAATGAGCATTATGACTAGGACGTTCTTCTTGGAGACCTGGGCATGAGAGAAGATGTACTCCAGCACAGGACTCATGTCAGGTTTGTACTGCTCCCTCAGGTTGATCACACACTTGTCATAGTGAGCTGTGTGCGAGAACAAGAGTAAAAATATGTTACCTATGACAAAGAAACAACAGTTAATATTAAAGAAAGAGCCTCATCTGGAGTTTTCGTATAAAATTTTGTATTTTAACGTCACCTTGCTGAAACTGCATCTCTACTTGCAGGTATCGCTTGAGCAGATCGAGAACCACCGACTTCATATAACCACGAATTCCACTGCGGTACCTGGACCAGACATATTCAATACCACTATTGCTCTATATGTTATGTTTTACTGCTGTACAATCTGTACATGACAAGAAAGAAGAAACTAACCTCTGTACCAGTTGAACGATACTCTGAGTGTTCATGAAGAACACCTCTCGGTCAGCCTTCCTCTGTAGGGTGGCCGCATGGCTGTCTAGAACGTTTGCAATCTGGAAGAAATGAAGGGAAACGCCATCATTTTATCTTGACAACAGTTTTTATTTGTATTAGAAGAACTTGCTCTGTGACACAGACACAACTGCAACCAGCAGTATGTCAACGTGCATCTCTCACCCTTTGGCTAGGGAACTGGCAGAGGACAGAGGTGATGTTGCTCGCGTACTGGGCCATGACTTTACGGATATCTTTCTCCACGCCAGGAGGAATGCGCCCCGCCACACTCGTCATGATCTCCTGGAGTTCCAACAGCGGCAGCGAGGGGTCCCTCAAAGTCTTCATCAGGGTATTCACCCACTGTTTGAGCTGCAGACATGGACGCCCACAGATCATTAATGAAAAGGATGGTATCATTTCAGAATCTTTTCGGGGAGAAAGCTTGCTATGTACCTTGCTGCTAAAGTACGGCTCTTCAAGGCAGTAGCCATCCATGACTTTACCCAAGTTTTCCAGCACACTGTGAAACACCTGGTGAAGTTTTTCCCCGACAACGGGCAGTGGTTGCTGGGGTGGCAGTTTGGCGGTGTTGAGCTCCACCTACGACAGGAAGCAAGAAAAAACAGACACACTAGATAATTTATACAAGTGTATGTATAAATTTTTTTCTCACTGAAAATAGTAGGAAGACTACTTAGTAGTAGGGCTGTAATGGTTCTGAAACAGAGACCAAATTCGCGACACAAAAGTCCACGATCTGTTGTCGCGGATCCGACAGACAGAACTGTTGAGCTCTTATTAAGACAGGGCAACTGTGCCGGCGGCGGCGCCTGGCGGGGGGTGGGCTTGATAGTGGTGTATATTGTAGGCCAGGTGCAACTATACCTGTGCGGCCCGCCCAAGTAAAGTATATGTTGAAAACACTTAAGTTAGTGCAAGCTGTAGGCCTATAGGCTATTTTGTAAATATTACACCTTATAAACCCCTTTTCTTGGTATTAAACAATACCAAGAAACAAAACATCAGGAGACTGTTGGTGAAGGCCAACCAAGAGCTGGCATTGATTTACACAGAGCCATGGAGGTGTCATTTGACTCCATTTGTTCGCTATTAGTAAGTAATTACATCATCTTTTTCTGTGTGAGTGTTTTGTCAGCTGTATAACACAATAGAGAAAGCAATTTTTGCCACGTAAGTTGTGGCATTCCATTCACTTACCCAGTGTATACTGCTGGGGTCATCCAGGTCTATATGTGCCATCACACAGCCAGGCTCCAGAACTGCTCCAGGTCTCTTAACAAAGTGGATAAAGCCTGACTGCTGCACAGTCAGAGTCATTACCATCTTCATCACCTGAAACCGCAGAATAAAAAAATTTTTAAAAGACACAGCGTGCCTCAAAAAAATCAATCTGACAAAAATCTGTCACATTCACCTCAATCTCTGCATATGTATCTCCAGCACAAATGTGACATCCGTCCTCAACCACGTACTGCAGCAGTTTACCAGCAGAGGGAGACCTCAGCACCGTGGGATCTTTCTCCTTCTCAAATACACAAGTCTTGTTGCCCACAGTGATGCGGTAGCTGTGGGGTCATCCAGAAAGAATGTGTAAAACAAACAAACAGATGAATCCAGATGCACAGATTCAAGAGCTCTTACCTGTCCACTTCCTCCTTCATGTAGGTGGTATGGCTGCTGCCATCATAGGACAGTAGGAGGCCACCATCACTCAGCCTGTGGACATCTATCTCAATGTTGGAGTCGTTCATCATGATGACATAAGTTGTTGGGGATTGGCGAGCCACCTGGAGGCAGCAGGAGTGATTATTCATTGATTTACAAAAGCCTAAGAGGTTAAGGCAAACAAGGAACGTGTGAAGGGAATGAAGCAGATACCCTGAGGAAGAACTTGACTCCTTCATATATAAGGTCCACACTGACAGAGTTTAGGAGGCTGGCCGCAGGCAGTACTTGGCCTCTTTAAATGCAGCAGATAATGTTTTTATAAGTCAATTATATACACTAACAACAGTAAGAGTGAGATATTAATAAGAAGGGACCATGTCTACTGACCTTTCCAGTGAATGTAGGTAGTCAGACATGCTCTTTTGGAAGCTCGTATCAGCAACATGCAAAGCCCCACAAACAATACCCAGCATGGTATTTGGTCTCTCCGCCTGTAGGAAGAGCATGAGGCATCATGAAACAAATTCAGCAACCAAGTACCTAGCTGGGTAGTGATTTATAGCATGAGGACTTCAGTCTCTCACCTGCACTTTGTCTGCAATGAGATGATCCAGCCAGCTGGTGTCGATGTCGTTGTTTCTGAAGCTTTCTGTCTCTAGTAACTTAATGAGGTATTCAACCGTGGTCCTGAAGTCGCCTCGAATGGACAGCTCCTTCAAAGCCACCACCATGTTCCTGAAGCACATGGCAAATATGACACTTGAACACATGTACCCTATGAGATTTAGATTGTTCTTTTGTGTTTTCACGTTATATTATTATACTATACTTTCTACAACCTACATTTGCGACTAAATAATTGCATGCATTACAAAAGTATACTGCATAATTGTCTTCAAAGATTATTATTATTGCATTTTCCAAACTGACTTTTTACATCATGGACAGTAACAACATTAGGGCAGATACTCCAGGACTGGCTGTTGTCTCAGAGTTGACACCTGAAAAGCTTTGATTGCTATAGATCAGATATCACACCATCATTAGAACAATTTTAAAAAAGGCTTACGAAATGGCTTCTTCACGGTTCTCACCCCAGGAGAAACAGTGTCCAAACTGGGAGTCCGCAAATTCATGCAGCCCACCAGTTGCCCCCACACTGAAATAGCCCCAGACATTTTTATTGCTACGGAAGTTCAGCTCCTGCACGGTGCCAGAGCTGGGCTTGAACCCCTGTGACAGAGGACGACAAGTCAGAGGTGTACATTGAATGTATGAAACAAACTGTATTTTTTTTGAGCGCAGATGAAATTGCGCTCTACCTCGTCAGGGTTCTCACTGGTGATCCGAGCAGCTATGACGTGCCCTCTTGGACTTGGTACGCAGTCTGGATTCTCAAAGTTAATGATGGTGTCACCCCACGGAGTTTCTCCATAAAGCAAGCGGATGTCCTTAATTCTATGAAGGGGGATGCCCATCGCAATCTATCAAAAGGTGAAACAGTAAGAAGGAAAGGTTGGATCTCTAACTATAAAACCATCTGGAAGAGAATGAGATATATATATACACATACATACACATACACATATATACATATATACACACACACACACACACACACACCACCAACAGATGTTTACCTGAAGCTGGGCAGCAGGCAGGTTTACATCTCCAATCATCTCTGTACAGGGATGTTCCACCTGCAGGCGGGGATTCAGCTCCAGGAAATGGAAACTTCCGTCTTCAGAAAAGAGATATTCCACAGTACCTGCACTGACGTAGCCCACCATCTTGGCCAGTCGCACGGCATACTGGGGCAGAAAGAAGAGACAATCTCAAAGTCTCAACCAGAGTTAATGAGGGTGGAGAAATAAATACATGCAGTGGCGTAAACTTACCCGTTCCATTTGCTCAAATGTTGAGGCAGCAGCTATGGTGGCAGGAGCCTCCTCTATGATCTTCTGGTGTCTTCTTTGGATGGAGCAGTCTCGTCCGAACAGAGAGATGGCATTTCCATACTCATCAGCCAGAATCTGAACCTCGAGATGTCTCGCATGCTGAGCCTGCTGCATGATGAAGATAGGCGAGCCGGGTACCTCTGTCTGAACCTGCATTAAAAACATGGAACATGTTAGCTGTAAGAATGAAACATACTGAACCATATAAAGTGGCTGTAAAATATAATAACACACACCTGTCTAAAAAAACTTGGAAAATCCTCAGAACTTTCTACTTTACGGATACCCTTTCCACCTCCACCCTCTGAGGCCTTGATAACAACCGGATAACCAATTCTCTCAGCTTCCTGCAGAAAAACATAAAAATACAACTTAGTAAAAAGATATTGTATAGATATCATAATGATGACTTTGTTAAATATGCTTACTGCCAGCCCATCATCTACATCCTGAACACAGCCCTTTGCGTACACCTCTGGAGGAACACTGATTACTTTGCCCAGTGTTTGGTCCTCCTCTGCCCAGTCCATTCTCAGACCTGGAGCATGACGACACACAAGGATTGAACATTAAAACCCTGTATTCACTCTCTACAGGTACACAAATATGAACTTTAAAATCATACTACACCGCAGGGTCTACAGTATACATTGTGCTACTATATTATGAGAACTGAGACAGGGCTGGAGGTAAAGCATCACCTGAGCCACTCCATGGTAGTGTGGGAATGTCGGCACTCTGAGCCACAATGGAAGAAGCCACCTTATCCCCGAGAGCCCACATTGCCTTACTGGACGGCCCTAAGAGAAACACAGTCACTTAACAATGAGATCTGACACAGGTACGAATAAATCAAATAAAAATAATGTGAACGTTCTGTGGTTTCAAACTGGATTTTACCTAAGAATGATATTCCTGCTTTGTTCAACAGCTCTGGCAGTTTGGGATTTTCTGAGGCATGACCCCAACCAGCCCACACAGCCTGTTAATAGTGATACACACGCACATTTAGACGTTTATCAGTTTTATTTTATTAACAGGTAGACAAGGTCAAAGAGGAAAAGGTTTAATCCAGAGGTCAAAGGCCAGAAAGAACACAGTTGTTTAGATAAATGATGAAGAGCACCTGCACTGGGATTCTTTTAGCAATGTCCACTATCAGCTCTACATTGGCGTAGTTGTTGTTGTTGGTCCCACCGGGTACAGGCACATAATGATCTGCCATTTTAATGTATTCTATAAGAGAAAGGAGAAACATATAACAATTTATTCAGTATAGGCTTTCAGTCAATCACTTTCTATGGCACTTTGGTCAAACAGCTGTGACTAGGGCACAGTTTCTAGTGTTTTTCTCACTGCTTAGTGATAACAGTTAGGTAATAAAAAATGATATGCATCAAGTTTACAATGACCTGCATTGGCTTTTAAGTCTTCAGGAGTTACCATGACCACAAAGCGGATGGTCCTTTCATTGCGAAACATTTCGTAAGACCAGCGACGGATAGAACGCATACATTTGACGGCGGCTATCCCGTTATTAGCTATCAGCACCTGTAACAGAAACAGAAACCACTTGTGTCACCTTAAGAAAAGACAGAAATTGCCAAAACCTGCAATGTCATTATGCAATGAAAAATAGAGATTCAAAAACACAGGAAGAATCTTTCATTCTTACTTTTTCGATGATACGGTTGCCACCAAATCGGGTGACAAACTCTGCAGGAGAGGCCACAGTGAAGTCCCTCTGCAGATCCATCTTTCTGTGCTCACGTCCTTTTTTCACCAAGTGAAGACCAGACATGCTAGGCCTGCAGGAGAAAGCTCGTGGTTAGCTGCCTTGGTAATAAACAGCTACATAACAGTGTCAACAGCATTGAAAATAACCAAAGTCAAAGTTCAGTCTCTCTCCTCAATAGGCAAAGAGAGACTGTGGACCAGCCCATTTATTTCTGACCTTGTCTTCAAATATCCACTTAACCGCTACAAGTGCAAACTCAACAAACTATTAGCGCACACATAATTTCTGTAGCTATCACTTTTTTATCGGATTTTCACCACAACAGAGACAATAAAAAAGGTGAATGTGCCGTCAGCATGATGCATTGGTAAAAAAGCCTTTTGCACCTGTTGCCTAGGTGGGCTGTTTTCAACAGTCAGGCCACAGTAGTAGTAAGAACTAATAAAACATAACATATAACATAAATATATAAACATATTGGTCTAAATGTCTGACCGTAATTTACACTGTGAAGTCTACACTATTATCAGATTTAATTTGAGATTATTTTTCGTCACATGGCAATGACTGGAAGTGACCTACAGCCTTCCTGTTTACTGAATATAGTTATCTGTTTTCAGCAGATAACTATATTCATGAAGTACTATTAGGTTATTTCTAAAGAGCAGTCAGTGGTATAATAATAATTCAGGGTCCGAGAGCAATGAGATGTGCTACTTTAATGCCTGGCTGTCAAAGTCAGTGTAATCATCTAATCGCATAAAAAAAAAGATTATATATATAAAATCATAAAACAATAAAAACAGTTGGCACTTTTAATTTTAGAATCACAAGCTCCATTTATGTAAAGTGGATCACCTCATCTGGTTTATGTTAGATTACAGATTCTTCAAAGATTAAAAACTGTAGTTAAGTTATTATAAGCAAAAGTAGTAGAACTGAACTTTACTGACGTGGTAATTTTATTGTTTGAAATCCCTTATAATATAAATATATTACAACACGCAGAATACAATATAAATTTGGAATGCTGTTAACATTACGACAACAGAAGCAGAGTAACCTTTCCACTTTTTGCAATGTGAATAAATACTGCAGTACATTTAGATAATTTCACATACCATGATAATCAGCTGGCTCATACCTTGTTCATTCCAAAGTCTTGTTGCAATTGCACCACGAGCCAAATTCTGTGCAATGTTAACATATCACTGAGAAATCAATGATCTAAATTGTGAAGTGAACTGATATGGACTTTAAACTTTAACTCCTGTATTGTACTGTTCACTCAGGAAATACAGATAGCACTCTGTTACAGAGCAAGTTTTTGATAACCTGTTCCAGCTCGATGTGCACACTCTGCTTTTTCCAGTACGTGGGGCGTAACGGCATGGTTTCATTTAACCAGACACATACTTTATGGAACAAACAATGAGGATCTATTTATAAACATTAGGGACTAGGAGGAGTATAACTTGTGCTAAAACACGTTAGCTTATTACTCTACAGGGTACACACTGTCGGAGTGTTGCTTTTTTTTTTTTTTTATTTCCTCAGATTTACGTGTGCCAAGACCAGCTCTGTACAGTTACATAACAGTATGGCCACACGAGTGATCCTTCCTGCTCACAAACATGTCTGCAGAAGTTGCAACAGTATCCATTTCTTTCAGACAAAGTAATTATGCATGTCTTCATTGTTTCAGCTGCTGTAACATAAATCATGGCATAATTGTCCACTGCAGCAAAAGTATCAAATTATAAAGAACAGTATCCAACTTTTAACTTGCACTTACCTTCGGAGATATGGGAACAAGCCGTTTCCCTCCATTGAACAGCCTACTTTACTGCCCTAGTTGCATTAAAAGTGAAGCTAGACCATTAAAATCTAAGACCAAAACAAAGACCTCTTCAAAATGCTTCCTCTCAGGCGCTTTATCCCTCCCTCTCCCCTCCCCTCCCACATCTGCAGCCAAATAATTTACAGATCCACTGTGACAGACCAGACTTCTCCTTGTAAATATACACAGAGGTAGGACCAATACCAGGACACAAGTGTTCATTCTGCTTCATTTATAAAACAAAGCAACTAGAATCCAGGCCAAATATGTAGCAAATGTTTTTGGACATGAAAAGAAACAATCATCCACACAAACACAAATAGATTTATTTTCCATTCAACATGTTTTAAACGTGCATCTTCTCTGGTTGCAAAAGTATGCCTCTGAACTGCAGGAAGATGCTTCTAAAGTTGAGATTCAGGAGAGGAAAATCTCTTACCTTTCTAGCCTTCATGATGCTTCCCACAAGTCCTGCCAGCACACACAGCTTTATGCATCTGGATAAGTCAATCCAACTACGCATACCAAGTTGAACATGTAGCTGCCAAACACCACCTCTGACCCACGATCATATATTACCATTGCTGGGTATAAAAATAACTCTTTACCATGCAAACTGTTAAAAAAAAGGATTTAAAAGTGTTTTTGTTTGCCGCTGTTGTGACCTAGAGTCAGACCACAGTTTTCAAAGTCACTGGCTCAGGCTCTTGTTCCAATAATAGAGCCGGGGTGTTTGGCATGCGACAATACTACAGGTCAACTCCATGCAGTCAGGTGATAACACGCAGCGCGTGGAGACAGGGTGAGCGTAACGGCACGTCACCAATGTGGCCACGTTTGATCCACAAATGTTTGAGTAAACACATCTTCTGCCAGACCTAAAAAACTACCCAGTTCATGTTGGTCCCTCAGACTAATAATTGCTGTGATCAAGATACGTGCCAGAGTTACAATTTCCACACAATTTAATTAGAAACAAGGTCTTACTTGATGCCTGAGGATCTGAACTCTGGCAATGCAGAGGACACCTGCTGAGGAGAAGATCTGGAGGTAGATGTCGGTAGCTGAGATGTGCCACTTGGAGGTTTGATGACCAGAAGTTCCTCGTCTGAAGAGTTATCCTCCGATGCTCCGAGAATGAACTTGAGGCGTTCCCTCACCTCGGGCCCTGAGCTGAGCATTGGCACTTTGGTTTTGGCAGATTTCTGGGTAGTCGGTAGCAATGATGGTTCTTCTTCTTTGACCTTAGAAGACGCCTGCTGAGCCTTGGTGTCCACTGTTTTGACATCAAGACCCGCAGAGGCACTGTTATCCTCATTGCGGGTTGAGGTAGAAGAAACTGTTGACAGGGAATGTTCACCTGGATGATGGGATTGAGTAGACATGTCCTCCTCAGCTGCAGGCGGACCACAGCTAGGCGGACATTCCTCTCCTTTCACGGGCATCACTGCTGTCTTGGTATTAATCCTCCATAGTAGCAATAATATCCATAGGATTAATCCCAAAACTGCAAATGGGAACATTCACAGACATTCTCCTGAGACTGCAACAAGAACAAAGTGGACATTATAAATCATTCAAGAGATGACAGTAACATCTACACATCACAAGTGAGTCAACTTCATAAGATCATCGTGGGATATTTCTTTAACCCCACACGAGAATAGCTTTAGTGCCATTAAAATTGTGTATTGATTTGTTGATAAATCTAATAAATATTATTATTATTATTATTATTATTATTATATACTTTGTCCGCCACAGAGCACTGAAAAGTTTATTTTTCAACTGTAAAATGTCTTACATATTTTGTCAAAATGTTTGTTTACACATTAACATTACATGTATAAAGAAAATGACTATCAATATACAATTTACCAGATTAAACTCTCAAATATCAATATTGGCCTCGGGATTGCAGCATCAGTTGGGCTGAGATTAAGTGACTTTTTGTCCTTGGTCAAAATGAAATGAAGAAAACTTTATGCTATCTAGCATTGCTGTCTGTGCACTATTCCTGTCTGAAGACATTTCTCTCGAGGTGATGAGAGGTCAGGAGCCCTCTCAGGACAGAGGCATGCTGGGTAATTTGAGAAACAATAAGTGGGTTAGGTTCAACTTCAAAAGACAGAGAGAAAAACTGGTAGAAAGGCTTTCTATCATATAGCTGAACCCTAAGAGAAAAAAGATAAATATACTGATAAATGTAATTTCTGTTAAGCAAACCAATTAAAATCATATGACGTCATATGCAGACTCTTCTTGACACTGAGTCCTCTAAACCAATAAATCAAGATATTTATGCAGTTTACTATGCCAGCAGGGCCTGGCAGGCTACATGTGTCCGGTAAACAGCCCATCAGCGACAGCTGACGAGAGCCATGTGTGACTGCTTCATATGGGCTAAAGGTCAACACTGAGGGAATGAAAGGTGAGGAGGAGGAGGAACAAACACACACACACAGCTTTCATGAGCTTCTTAAAAGCACCAAAATAATAATAAAATAAAGAAAACAATGAAGCATATAGTGATATGTAATCCATGTGAAACAAAAATCGATTCCTCCTGTCAGCCAAAGTCTGTATTTCAAATTAAAATGAAGTAAATATTATGTGCAAGATGTGAAAGAGGCATTCGATACAGAGACAATGAGGCATTTGTCCTCTGGAATTTGTCAGAAACAAAAAAACTTTTCAGATGAAGCAAAACATTTAAGAGGATTTCTGTGTAAGATTGCTTTTCCCATTTTTTCATTTCATGTGTCCTATTTTTAAAGCACTTTACAAAGTTTCTTTTAGAAGCTCTTAGTATTTCCAGACAATTTACATTTAAAGTTAGTTATTCCACTAAAACTAAGTGTGTGCTTAAGCATGTTAACTTTCTCTATGCTGACCTCAGTCCAAGTACAACAAGATGTCACAGAAAGAGTGGCTTAGCAACTGCAAACTGAACTAAACATAAGTCAATGTTACTGTTGTTTTTTCACAAAACTATTCACTCAAAACTAACCAACATACGTTCAAATTAGGCACACAACCTGCCAGCGAGATATGGTTTGAATGGTTAAAACGAGCTTAAAAGCCGTGTTAAATTGTATAAACATGTCATTTCCACTCACCAACACAGATAACGGACATCCCTGCTCAGTTGTCGTTGCCTTTGCTGCGCGTGCTAACGAGCTAGCGACCAAACCGCTGCTTATTTTTCACAACTCACACACAGTTATGTTGAATTAAACTCACTTCTGCAATGTCTATTTATTTATCTCCACCGAGACCTCAAACTGTCAGAGTTTACCGCGCTGCTCGCAATGGTTTTGTTTTAATAGTTTTCAAGACAGCGACAGCAGCAGCTGGAAGTGTCAAACCGCCTCCTCCGACAGATAGTAAACATGGTGGGGGGGGGCAAGCTCCTCCCAGGAAGGAGGAAATCCTCTGAAGATCGTGTCGTCTTTATTAGTACAAAAGTATGAACAATGCAACATACAGGGATACATACAACACATAAAAGGTACAAAGGTACATAGCTAGGGGGGACTACAAAAATAAGAGACAAATATAAAGAACGAAAAATGACAAGAATGTCATAGAAAGACCTCCAAACGTGTACAGATATTAAGTACCTTCAGAGCCTTTTAGTTGGAAGAGAAACAATTTGTTCTAAAATAAAGTTCAATTTCCTTCTTAAAGAATATAAATAGGGTTTTTTGGCTATAAATTTGCATTTAAGAACATTCTGCCAGAACAAGCTGAAACCTGGATATACACTCACCTAAAGGCTTATTAGGAACACCTGTTCAATTTCTCATTAATGCAATTATCTAATCAACCAATCACATGGCAGTTGCTTCAATGCATTTAGGGGTGTGGTCCTGGTCAAGACAATCTCCTGAACTCCAAACTGAATGTCAGAATGGGAAAGAAAGGTGATTTAAGCAATTTTGAGCGTGGCATGGTTGTTGGTGCCAGACGGGCCGGTCTGAGTATTTCACAATCTGCTCAGTTACTGGGATTTTCACGCACAACCATTTCTAGGGTTTACAAAGAATGGTGTGAAAAGAGAAAAACATCCAGTATGCGGCAGTCCTGTAGGCGAAAATGCCTTGTTGATGCTAGAGGTCAGAGGAGAATGGGCCGACTGATTCAAGCTGATAGAAGAGCAACTTTGACTGAGATAACCACTCGTTACAACCGAGGTATGCAGCAAAGCATTTGTGAAGCCACAACACGCACGACCTTGAGGCGGATGGGCTACAACAGCAGAAGACCCCACTGGGTACCACTCATCTCCACTACAAATGGGCTACAATTTGCAAGAGCTCACCAAAATTGGACAGTTGAAGACTGGAAAAATGTTGCCTGGTCTGATGAGTCTCGATTTCTGTTGAGACATTCAGATGGTAGAGTCAGAATTTGGCATAAACAGAATGAGAACATGGATCCATCATGCCTTGTTACCACTGTGCAGGCTGGTGGTGGTGGTGTAATGGTGTGGGGGATGTTTTCTTGGCACACTTTAGGCCCCTTAGTGCCAATTGGGCATCGTTTAAATGCCACGGCCTACCTGAGCATTGTTTCTGTCCATCCCTTTATGGCCACCATGTACCCATCCTCTGATGGCTACTTCCAGCTGGATAATGCACCATGTCACAAAGCTCCAATCAGTTCAAATTGGTTTCTTGAACATGACAATGAGTTCACTGTACTAAAATGGCCCCCACAGTCACCAGATCTCAACCCAATAGAGCATCTTTGGGATGTGGTGGAACGGGAGCTTCGTGCCCTGGATGTGCATCCCACAAATCTCCATCAACTGCAAGATGCTATCCTATCAGTATGGGCCAACATTTCTAAAGAATGCTTTCAGCACCTTGTTGAATCAATGCCACGTAGAATTAAGGCAGTTCTGAAGGCGAAAGGGGGTCAAACACAGTATTAGTATGGTGTTCCTAATAATCCTTTAGGTGAGTGTATATAGTCATTAATAAATGTACATGGGTGTTTCTGCATCTATGGTCACTTTTGACCTCCCAAATAAAATAAAAAAATCAACCTCTATGAATTTTAATTTAAACTTTAAGAGTCCGTAAAACATATAAACAAGTACACAAAAATGCATTGTGTCATTAATATTTTAATGGCTTTTTATGGTTTTCATCACTTTTTCTTAAAAAATGTCCTTACTGCAACATTACAGCAACATTTATTTTCTAGATTTTCCTTTTTTAAATTCAAATAAAAAATGTAATTATTAAATTACTGCAATTCTAATGTGTTAATCATCTCTACTTAAGTGATTTTGAATTGTTTTTGCTAATAAAATCATAATAATAATTCAAATAAAGCAATGATGCGGTAATGACATATTGTGTCGGTAAGGACACAATTTTAATGGTAAATGTTACCTCCTGTTATCTTCAGATTTACTAAAATCTTTTATCTTTGGGGTCATTTTGACCTCCAGAAAATGAATTTCACAGAATATGAACTGCATATTATTTTTCCCACAGCCCACCAGAGAGTGTGAGTGCACCTAGCTTTGCATTTTGACTTGTACAATCCTGCTAAAATGAGCAGCCCAATGTAGGCATACAAGTAGGTCTCCATACCCATACACAGGCCTCCTTTCTATGTTTGTCATCTCATAACTTTTCATTTTTGGAAGAAACGTGCTGGTGGTTGAAAAACTACAAGAGGGTCAACACTAAGGGTCTCATCCTCATCAAAAGAGGATGCTTCACAATCAGGGTCCTCAAAGACCTGTGACAAAACCTCATTAAAAACCTTTGCTTACAGGTCCAAGAGAAATGGTTTAGAAGATTGCTTTGCAAGTGTTATGTGTGGTCATTCCCTATGTTGTGAACTATTAGCGTTCTCACAGAAACCTTAGTCCCCTCTCCCACCGTGAGGAAAATATTAAAGTTCTCTGGAATTATATTTTCCCCTCCCTCATGTCGCGTGAAATATCAGTGGTTCTTGCTCTACTACAGGTATGGTCATGGTAGGGTGGGACCCTAAAGCATTGACCTCAATATAATCCAGAACAACCACAACAAATGTGTGTAAAATGTATACTTTTTACAGCTAAAACTTGGTCTCATCTATCGTTGCAAAAATGACATGTTTGTGTTACATATACAATCGCCTTAATAATTATTTGCCTTGAATATGTCTCTACCCCAACACAAGGTCTTTACGTTAGGTGTAAAGGTCTTTACACCTAAAGCTGCTGCGGTAAAGACATGTTGCGGTAATGACATTTTTGCTAATATTGCAAATAAATAGCAGTTAGGAATGTCTGCTTCATTAGCTTTGACTCTAATGATCTAATATACATGAATTCAACAGTAATATTAATTAATTTTTTTTAATGTAGTTCAAAATACACAATTAATAAGCTGTATTGTAAGCACACACAATAAATACTTCAGAAGAGAAGATTATCTTTACATAGTTTTTCTTGATCTTGAGGGTCACCTAGTGTGGGTGGCCCCGCCTGTCATCCATGTGCTCACTTACTAACTTCTGTTTCCCCAGAAACTAGATTTGTTTTGCTTTGAAAAAAAACCTTTACTATGGCATTCGTTCAGTGTTGCGGTAAGGACTCAGAAGTGTGGAACAGGTGATTTTACGTTAAAAAAGGATATAAATCATGAGTTAACAAACTTTCAGATTTTCAACTTGTTGTAAATTAACATTTATATCTAACAATTTAATTTGAAATAACGTCATATTTTAATTGAATTACCTTGTTCTGTGTATCTCAACATTGAGACCACAGTTGTGGGACATGAAGAAAAGTTTGGGCCCATAAAATGCTTCATAAATGTTATTAAATCACATTATTTTGTGATTATGTTATGGTAAATATTTATGGGGCAACATCCAAATGTTTCTCCAGCACAGATCATTGACAAACTGGCTCCAATAATACATGACATATGGAATAGAAACTATATCTTGTTGGAACAAGGCACGAATAGCTCTGTTATTATGTGGACGGGAAGAGGAGCAGACCTTACCTACTGAAGGTCAGGTCTATGAACATTCCTGAACAATAGTACACCTGAAGGAATGGCATCCAGAACCAGAGCAAGGTCTGTGGGTGTTACAGGGATCCCATATAGATGTAAAAATTACTGATAAGTAAGAAGAAAACCCTCCTCTTTTACAAGCTGACTTACCAGTAAAATGTTATTCCTGAATCAATATTCCAAGAGGAGGGACATGTTTTTATACAGAATGTCAGGATCGTTCCAGATGTGCAGAGAGAAATTATGTTAATTGTATGTAAATTAAGGCCCATGACAAAAAAGGCCTGCCAGTGAAAAGCAGAGAGCTTAACAGATACTTTGTCAATATCATAATTACAAACCAACATAAAGTTAAGGCCGCCAAACATAGAGAATACATGACTGGGAATCAAGTTAATCCAATTAATCTTAAAGGTCTTATTTAACATAGAAAAGTCCAGAAAATTTAGCCCACCATACTCATAGATATTCATAATAACACTCCTCTTAATATAATGACTATGGTTTTTCCACAAAAAATTAAATAGCATCTGGGCCCGTATTTATCAAACTTCTCAGAATTACTCATAAGAACACTGCTAAGAACTGACTTGAGTAAAAAAATTCTTGGCTCAAAGCTGTGCTTAAAAGTTAGTTATCAAGCATCATAATCCTACTTTGAGTGAAGTGTTGGACTAAATCTTAAGTGTCAGTCTTAGTGCTGATTTACGCCACTGCTGTGTCGCAACCAGGATTTTGGATGACGACGTAGGCAAGGACCAATCACTCAATAGATTTCCTTATTTAAGAATATTCTCAGATAAATTCACATTGAATGGTGAAATACCTAAGAGGAGTTTATATTCAACACACGTTTAACAATAAAGCATTTTAGATATTACATTATGATATAGGCCTACACATTAATAAATGAAAGATAAAGTTTAGCTTTATATGAGCGCCATCAAATGCGCCTACTGCTCCTGTGAAGCCGGCTATTTGCATGAACTGTGTTTGCTTCTGTCTGATTACGGGTGGTGTTGTTGGGAAGTCGATGAAACGCGTGACACTGTGTGGAGCTGTAAGTGTTAAAATAAGGCATGCTGATTAGAAATTGTGTCCCACTTTCAGCCGGCGCTGCAAAACGTCACCATGTCACATGACATTAAAATCTCGCGGGAGCAAGGTGGCCGAGTACGGCGGCCGCAGTTCCTTTTTCCAGACTGCACCAAGTTTGAACCACACTTTTGTCTGATCAATCATTGATCTCAGTTCACAGTAAGCTCACGCAGGTTGGATGTGTCCGACTTGACGGCGCCGTTTTTATTCCCCGCTCCTGCAGTCACCTGCAGCTCACGTTAGACTATCAAGACGGCGAAAGTCAGCCGCCGTCATCTCAAACGCACCTATTATGTGCTGCAGGGTACGTAATGAAGGCATAGACCGTATAATACTCGACGAAGTCACTCCGCAGATATGAATGGAGAAGAGTGAAGCCAGTTTTGGACCAGTAAAATACTACTACAGGGCTACTTCCTGTTGGCACCAGCGTCTACTGCGCATGATCGTAGAACAACGGCAGAAACACCGTAATTCTGGTAGCTGCGTAGCTGCACCAACAAAAAGTTTCATGGCTCAGTGTGTTCGTCTGACTCGGATCGTCACTGATTAATCAGCCCACCTACGTGTCTCACCTCTGAAACACCAACGCAGAGTCACTGATGGCCGAATAGTTTTTTTAGAGTTTATAATCTAAGCAATACGGTTACATCTCTCATGTGCGACGGGGTGTCACAGGGTTTTGACGTCATTTTAGGCCCTACATGGATCCCTTCATGCAGGCTTTGGTCGGCTTCACAGTCCGATCTCTGGCTTACCCCCTTGAATGAAGGTAGCTCGGCTAACTAGACCCTACGCAGGAGTATAAATGGGCCTAGCTTCTTCTTCTTAGTTAATGGCGGATTGCAGTGCATAGCGCCACCTACTGTACTGGAGTGTGTAACATCATATCACTCAACTACAAACCCCAAAAAGGTGCTCTCAGATATTCTGTTCACCAACCCAGTGTCTTTAAGAAATTTAAATAATGCCTGGTGATTCTTATACCCTTTTCTTCTCCTTCTGTTCCCAATACCCCCATCAGATTCCATTCCCGCCCTGCCTCCTGAAATATCTGTTTTTCCATCTCAAACAATATGCAGTGCAAAATGACATGTTTTAACATTTTCTTTAACCCCACAGGTTTCACACTTTTCACTATTCCTTTTCCCCAATAAAAACAAGGTGCCATTCAGTCCTGTGTGATCTTCTCTCAGTCTTGTCATTATAATTTCCTCCTGCCTGGTCCTTTCGCTATAATTTTTATTATTGACAGACTTTTGTATTTTATAGTGGCTCCTGTCTTCCTTCCACCATTTCTGCCATATTTCAGTACCTTTCTTCTTAATGGTTGCTTTTAATTCTACTTTTCCTAGCAGTATTTGAACTGTTATTTCCTTTTGTAATGCCTCTTTTGCTAGTTTGTCTGCAATCTCATTTCCATTTACTCCCTCATGAGCTGGCACCCAGCAAAACTGAACATCGATCCCTCCCCGATGTAATCTTAATAAGCTGTGAAACATTTCTATCAGTAGGTCTTCTCTGACAGATGTCACTGACTGAATGCTTTTAATAACTGCCAAGGAGTCTGTACATAATATCACCCTATCAGGTCTGACCTCTTCAACCCACTGTAAAGCTATAATGACTGCCACTATTTCTGCACGGATAGCCTATCTGATAATTGTTTTGAGACACACATTCCTGTTTGTTTTTAGATCCATCTGTATAGATTTTTAGATAATTCTGGAAACTGTTTCTCAGATAGCTGCTTGTCCGTATTCCCACTTCCTCTATTCCCCATCCTCTTTTCTTTTCCAGGATACTAAAATCTGTTTTTACGTCTGGATAGAGCCAAGGTTGAATGTTACTGACTGGACTGGGTGTGCTGAAATCTAATGCTTCCATTCCGTATTCCCTGACTCTCTTTTCCCCCGTCCATCCAAACCCATGCCGCCGAAACTTGAAATATTCCCAACAATCCTTTGTTATCTCCTTTGCAGGGTTTTCTTTCCCACTTCCTTTCAATCTCACCCAATATGCTAACGCTAGTTTCTCTCTTCTTAACTCCAGTGGTGTCTCTCCAGCTTCTATGAGTATTGTGTTAATGGGAGTTGTCTTCATGGCTCCAATGCATATCCGTAAGGCTCTGTATTGTAATTTATTGTTTTTGCTGCTGCATCATATACTGAGCAACTATAATCTATTGATGACCTCATGTATGCTCTATATATGTCAATTAGTGACTGTTTATCTGCACCCCAGTCGCATCCCGCCACCGCTCTCTGTAAATTAATAACTTGTTTGCATTTAGTTTCCAATTGCTGTGTGTTTTCCATGTGTACTTAACTATCAAACCACAATCCCAAATACTTGGCTGCTGATATAGTAAAAGCTTTTCTACATGACACTTTCGCTTGTTTGTGAACACCATATAACAGGATTTGCTTGTTGATATTTTAATCCCCACTTGAATGACCACTTCTCTAATTTCCCTATTGCTTTCCTAATGTTCTCTAACACATATGTCTCATTTCTTCCTCTCATCCATATGGCCCCATCATCTGCATATGACGCTGATTAGATGTGTCCATCTTAATCTGAAAATATATCATAATGTTGAATAATATAGGGCTAATTGCGCTCCCCTGGGGAATGCCATTATTTACCTTAAACTCTGTAGAAATTTCTGATCCAACCTTTACTCTAATTTTCCAATCTGTTAAAAAAGTCTAGTATCCAGTTATAAATCCTTCCTTCAAAACCCATTCTATATAGTTTAATAAGTAGTCCTTCCCTCCACATAGTATCATATGCCTTCTCAAGGTCAAAATACACAATTAACATCAGCTCTTTCATTTTCAGTGCCTTTTCTACCCCATCACTTACTCTAACGAGAGCATCTCTTGTGGAGCGCCCTTTCCGAAATCCATTTTGTATATTACTCAGTAGTCCTCTCTGTTCCATTACATGTTATCCTCTCCACTCATTTGCATAAGTGAGATGTCAGAGCTATGGGTCTATAATTACCAGGATTGGTTGGGTCTTTACCAGGTTTGCTAAACGGTTGTATAACTGCACTTTTCCAACTTCTCGGTATTATTCCATCCTTACATATTTTATTGAACAGTCTTAACACTAGCTTAATTGACTCTACTGGCAGCTGTTGGAATATGGCATAACATAACTGGTCTTGTCCTGGGGCTGTATATCCCGTGCCAAGCAGAGCTATGTTGAGTTCTGATATTGTAAAATCCACATCTAAAGTTGTTGTACCATCCTCCCTCTTCAGCTTCACATCCTTATTTTCAGTGCCAGGTCTTTCTGTTGCTTATGAATATCCATAAGGTGATCACCACTCTGCACAGCCGCAAAAGCCCTACCCAACATCTCTGCCTTTTCTTTATCCGACACTACCGCCTTTCCTTCATCTATCAAAGCTGGGATTTTAGTCGCTTTCCTTTTCCCACTCATTCTTTTAAACATAGACCATATGTCCCCTAACTCTACACCTCTACCTATGATGGAACAGAACTCTCTCTTAATTGTCCTATGTGCCACTCCTTTGAAAATCCAAAACACTCTCTTGTGACAAATTCTTCTTTAATGTTTTAAAAGCTTTGTTTCATTCTTTTACAGCTCTGCTACACTCACACCAGGTGACCACTTTCTTCCTGCCCTTTGTTGTTCTTTTTGGAATATTTAAATTTGCTGCATTTATAATGTGTTCTGTTGGTTTGTGCATTCCTCTAAATCACTTTCTAACATATCCTAAATTTTCCCAGTCTGCTTTCTCAAAGCACCATCTGTTAATTGTACTTCCTTCTTGAAAACATACATTTGTGTTGATTATAGTAAGAACTGGAAAATGGTCACTTCCTATGGTAGAATCATTCATAACAAACCATTCGCATGCGTTTACCAAATTGTCTGATACCAGTGTAATATCTAAATATGATGTTCTACCCCTATTCCCATCTATTTGTGTTCCCTGTCCATTATTAATGCAGACCAGTGATCTTTCTTCCATCACTTCTTCAATTATATCCCCATTATTATCTGTGATTGCTGTCCCATTAGCTGTTATGTGCAAGTCCCCACACCATATTTCTTTTTACAGTCCCTGCCATTTCATTAAGTTTGTTAATATCTAAATTTTTGCATGGGTTATAGAAATTAATCAATTTAATATTTCCCTCTTTCCTTGGACTATAGATTTCAACTATTATACATTCTAAATCTTCTGAACTTGGGGATTCCCTGTAGGCCAACCCATCCTTGATAAAGGTGATGCAGCCTCCACCAGTTTGGTTGTTAGGTCTATCATATCTTATAGAGCTAAACCCTGATATCACAAAATCTAGTCTCGTAACCAAGTTTCTTGTACACATATTGCATCTGGAACAATATCTAATTCATGAATGTACTTTTTGAATTCTTGACCATTAGCTATAAGACTTCTTGCGTTCCACTGTAGTATGTGAAGAACCATTATAAGTGTCCTAACCCTCAGTTTGTGTATTTCCATTTTCAGTTACGGTCAACAACTTATGTATTTGATCTGCTTTGATATCTTTCATATCAAGACGTTTTCCTGCTGCTTCTACAATAGCCTTAATTCTGTCACTTTTCTTTTTCAACTGGGATGCAACATTGATGGTGTGTCATATGAAACCCACAAAGTTCACTTTTTTCACTTTCAAAGTATCATCGTCAACTTTACATTTATGCTCGTAACCATTCTGTGTGTGAGCTGGAATCTGGCTTTGTGTCTGATTAACTGGTGTTACGTTTCTTTGGACAATTCCACAGTAGTTTTTGTTATTTGATCCTGTTTCTCTTACTTTCTTTAGAGCTTCTGCATATGATACTTTGTTCAAAACCTTCACCTTTTGGGCTTCTCTGGCTTCTCTTTGCACTTCACATCCACCAAATGCAGCACTATGCTCTCATCCACAGTTACAACATTTAATCTTTGCATCCTTTTCACATTTATTATACCCGTGCTGGCCCCCACATCTAGCACACCTTAGCTTTCCTTTGCACTGCTGAGCTGTGTGCCCCATTCTTTGACATTTATAACATCTGATAGGAGGAGGGATGTATTCTCTCACACTGTAATTCATGTATCTCATGTATTCATGTATGTAATACATTCATTTATATTCATGCATTTGAACTGACTTAGGGAGGGTTCTCTCAAATTGCACAACCACAGATAGTGTGTCTTTTAATGATCCATCTCGTTTGCTTTTTCATGTAGTAGCCTCATTTGCCTCCCTGAATCTCATTTTTAACATCTTCCACTGACATATTCATTATCCTGAGATAACTCCTCTAACCTTTGCCATTGCTCCTGGGATGTGAGCCTTCATCCTTTCCCCTTGCAGTGTGGACATACTCTTTTCTTGTTGTTTGCTGCTTGCATGTATCAGTATTTGTTTATTGTTCAAAAATCTTGCAAATTAAATTTTGCCAATCTCCTTCTCATTTGCCTTGGTAAGTTTAATTGGGTGATAGTGCCCACCATCCTGGTTGAAATAACTTTCCACTTGTTTCCTTGCGCTTTCTCCGTATTCTCAGGCTTCTGTTTCTCACACCGGCTAGCACTCAGTTTCTAGCTATTACTTCCCTCGCCGGTCTCACTATGTTCCGACCTCTTTCTCTCAAGTCCCTTTTCAATCTCACAGATTTGGACATCATCCACTCCATCTCATCCCCATCTGAACTATTTGACATGATGTTACATTCACAGTACAGTTTATGCACATCCGCCAAACAAAAGTTAGAGCCTACTATGTTTTCCGACCACCGTTCGTTCACTCTCTCCACGTAGCTCCAAACCTCCGCGCCAAAACCGACCAACTAGCATTAGCTAAATCACCCAGACATTAACGTTCGGCTGCCCGACTGGCTTCAGCAGCGCGAGTCTAACATTACACCAAGTCTAACATTACATCTTCCATTAGGCTTCCAAATAAATATATCACTAAAATAACACTAACATATTTAAGATAATGTTGTATTTATAATTAATAATAAAAACTGAAAGTCAGCTACAGCCCATTTCTAATGAGATCGTAATGGTCCAGTGCAATCCTTCTCTTTAGCACCCCCAGTGAACATTTGTTTCTCAAAGCTGTGGCAAAATGTACCCGAGGGTATGTAAATGTGGCGCTGCAAAAATGTGGTCAGTGGTTGGTTTAAACATTAATATTTGAATCAATGATCTAAGAAGCTTAGAAGCAGCTAAAGCAGGCGACCCTGCGGGTTTAAGAGGTTTTATACATCCAAAAACTTGACCAGGCGTTAAATTGAGGCAGGCGTTTATTTGTCAAAATGTGTTCCCACACCAGACCAGTAAAGGAGACAGGCGGCTATTTGGGACTCGGCTATTAATTGAAGTTGTACAGTAAATGAACTGTTTGTCTCTGTTTGTTGTTATTCTCTAAATAGATGGTGCACATACTCTTTTTTTCTGCTTTAATAGAGCTATCAGAGGTGCTTCGGACCATGGTGATGAGAGTAGGGCTACAAATGGGCACTACTCTCGGGGTTTTATTCCTGGTGCCTGTGTTTGGCCTGTTTGCTGTTCTCACTGTGTCCATTCTTTTGGTAATGGAGGGTCTGTCTGCATTCCTTCATGCCCTCCGGCTGCACTGGTAAGATAACCACAAAAGTACTTCGATCACTGACAGGGCCAATGTGCTGTGAATTGTTTCAGTGTTTTATATTCATAGCAGCTTTTTGTTTTCTTCCTCAGGGTGGAGTTTCAGAATAAATTCTACAGTGGGACTGGAGTCAAGTTCATCTTAAACGACTCCATGTTCCTTTTGAGAATATCACCCTCATGCAATAATAAATTGTATTTGTTTTGAATTGAGTCTTCCTCCTTTCATTTGTTATTATATCTGGGTTTAAACAAGTTACATGGAAGTTGACACCAAGACATTTCACCCACTTTTAGCACCAAATTCATCAACTTAAATATTGTGCGCAGTAACCCTTTTTAATGTACAATCTGTAATTCTTGGAAAGCGATCTTTGTGCTGCTTTTATTGAGATGTGATTAATATGCACACAAGCAAACCCATTTGACTACATATAAAGGCTTTGGTGCAGTATGCTGGAGAGAGAGATTATATTTTGCAAACTACAATAATTCTTCTACAATAATGGCTAAAATTATTGACAAGTTAGTACTTAACATTAAAAAATTAGACATCAATGTAGACTCTGCTTCTTGCACAATGATTTTAAATTAATAAAAACAACCCACAAAATGAAACTGCTGTGACTGGAATTATTATAGTGGCCTAGTGTGAAACTACATTTGGAATTATAATGAATGTATTAACTATAGGTAATATAATAACAGTACACTAAATAGCCTATACTATAAAATTAACACAATACTTTAATTTAATATTAGAAACTTATCCCTATAATATAAAAAACCATTTTATTGTGCTATTCTATATAACACTAAATACAACTATTAGTTCTAAGTTATATTTTGGAGGAGTTCTATAACATCTTTGGTCCAGCGCTAAAAGGTGACCCACAACGCTTTGTTGAAGTGCTGTACAGAGTGGATAGCTTGGTTTTGCCTATTAAGGAAGTCAACTTTAAACCTTTCAACATTTGTAGGATGAGCAACAGGAAAATGATCATGTCAGACTTCAACAATACCATGCAGGTGAGTTTAAGACATCCAGCGTGCACAAGTTGAAGGTTCTGGACCAACACAACATTGGTAGTCTCAATGTACTTACCAATCTTCTGTGTGCCGTACCTCGGTTATCAAGCTGACTCACTTCTTCTCAGGCTATTGAGGGAGAGGTGGTTGTGCCCTTATAATTTCCATAACCTGTATATAAGAAAGGTTATTTCCCTTATTTTCCAATCCCAATGTTGACAGGTATAATAGCACCGCCTTGCAGTCAACACTCTAGTGGAGTGGATCCGACACTGCGTATCTGTCGGTTTCAATTTCCCGGACGGAACCAAGTCTTTCGACGAGCTTCTCAATCGGGAAGATGGAGAAGAGAAAATTATCCGTTACTTGAACTTTGTCTCAGAGGAAGACTCGCCATCTTGTCTTCTGTTTTTCAAAACTATTAGAGAGGAAGAAATTGAAGTTGAAATTCCAGTCGGTAAGTTAAGTTGGCAGAGGTGTAACTCCAGTTTGTGCCTCTCATTAACGCTATTAGCATAGGGGAGACAGGTGTTGTGCCTAATTCTGCCTGCCTGCCGAGAATTGCATGCACCTCGCGGGTGATAACGGCTGAGAAAAGAGGTGGATGCAAATCTCCGCAGGTAGCCTACAAAATTTGATCTGCCGAATTATGCATCCAGCTCTTTAGGTCCTTTTCAGACACTGACGCTGTGCTCATTGATCAAACGGCGTTATCACCACATATATTTACTAAATATCAAGGAATGGTACTTCTGCTAAGTTTATTTAACACTATTGATGGACCCCACAAAGAATATTATAGCGTTTAAAAGCAGTATTTGGAGGTGAATGCAATTCTCGGCAGGCAGTAAAACTCGGCATAACACCTGGATCAGTCGGTCACACGTCCAATTTCTCAGGAACAAGTTACAATTCACTCTACACATGCTTACTTTAGACCTTATTCCACATGGGGAAAAATAGCACCCTGTGGCAGACAGAGCCAATTTTAGAAGGAAAAAAATAATTTTGAGGTAGGAAAGTATTTATTCAAACTTCATTTATTTTTTTTGTAGCATTGCCTGCTTGGTAATTCATCTAATCAAACTTTAATCATGTTAATTGTGTGTCTATGTAAGTTAAGGTGACCAGATTTCTGAAATGAAAACCGGGGACATTTTTGGTTTGGTGGTCAGTATGTCATTAAAAAATATAATGTTATTATTCATGAAATTAAAACGGGGGACAATTTCGGTTTTATAATCTGTCAAATATAACTCTTCTGAATGAAATCAAGTCATTTTATGGCAGAAACTAGCTTTCAGTCAATAAATAGCCTGCAGTCCCATTCTGGCAAGTGTAATACTGCATTTTCTGTGTTGTTTTGGCCATTAAAGGTATTTTAAGAGGTAAAAAGTACTAGGTGAGTTATAATCTATCAAATTTAACCCTCATGAATATAATGAAGTAATTTCAGGGAAGAAATAACCTTTCAGTCAATAAGTAGCTGCAATCACTTTCTGGCAAGTAGAATAATGTATTCTATGTGTTGTTTTGGCCATTTATAATTCATTTGTTATATAACTCATCATCTAGTTTTGCGGGGATGCTCAGCCATGCAAATTCCCTCCTGTTTATGTCCTATTTAGTAAAGAGTAATAGATTCTGGAAAGTCACAAACAGGGAGGATCTGTCTCTCTTCCAATGATTTGTGCTCCGCGTCTCGCACAAAAAAATTCAAGACAATTCAACTTTGGCGACGTGCGGGGCGTGTGCGTGAGGCGAGCACTTCACTAACAATACATAATAATAATTGTCAATACAACTAAAGCCTGCTCAAGCACAGAAAACGGATTATTATTTGTGTTTTCAATAGAGACCATTGTTGAACCACTGGACATGAGGCTATTTTCCATTGGCATGCAAAATGGAGATCCCCTTCTTGTGCTGCGGAACAAACTTACCCAAGTAACATTTCCCAGTCAGACAAAAACTTTATGTAACAGCAGAAAAAAATGTCAATGTCATCACCCATGTATATCAAAAAATTCAGATTTTTTTACAGGATGCATATTTTACTGTCTCTTGTTAGGTGTATATACCCTTGCTCACTGCCCACCAGATGCAGAAAATTGGTGTGGGTTATCAAAGAAGGAAAGTTTCTCCTCAGGAGGATACCAGTGGAGAGGGTGAAGAAGAGACTCCAGTGAAGTCAAGTGGACAAGTCACAATTCGTGATGAATTGCTCAACAGAACGCACAAGTTTTTGGGAATGCTCAACACAACTATCCAACAACTTCAGATTCAAGGTTTGTTTTGTTAGATATACCAAAGGCTCATTATTTCATGAGTTTAATGTTTCACTACTAAAAACAAGTACACATTTTTTTTTAAGCATATGTTGAGCTGTACATGCCCGGAGACTGTAAACTGTTGTGAAAATACTGCTCACTTATATTTTCAATGCTCATTTCATAACCTTTTAAAATAAAAAACATTACAATCTAAAATTCAGTCTCTTTGTCACAGATGAGATTACACTGCACGTCCCTGAGCTAGACCTGGAGCCGGAGGTGGATGTACTGCTCTCTAATCCAGAGATAGTAGAGAAGTTGGAGCAGTGTGTGATGAACTGGCAGGCTCAGATTACTATTGTTATAGAGGAACAGCAAAATAAAAAGCACCAGGTTTGTAACCATCCCTATATTCTTTCAACCCAGGCAGGCTTGGTGGTTTGTCACAGTTAAAGAATGTAAATTTAGCTGAAGGACTTAGGGTCAGACACTGGCATGTATAGTCCCTGCTGCAGTGTTTCCCATTAATTCATTTTTTCCGTGATAGTTTCAAAATGAACCAAAAATATATTAACATAAAAGACTTCTAACTCTGTGTTTTCCCGCTGCAGCCCCCCGCTGCTATAAACTCGGGTTTGAACAGCGTTGAGTGTTTCCCATGGTGTTTCCACTGTCTCTTGTTTGTGAGAAGGCAATCAAGCTTGATGCTAAATTGCACACATATTAGAGCCTTTATGGTAAATGCAGTTAAAAGGAACAGAGCGAGCTGACAGGCAAGGTTAACGACTTTATTCTGGCTATTAAATCTTAATTGTACGCAATATGAGCACAACATAAAATATAATTTATTAAATTGCGTTGGACTTGGTGTAAGTAGAGCGAGGATACACATGTGACAAAGTCCGGTTTTCAAAATAAGGTGTTAACACAACGTTTACAGTATATATGGAAATAAGATTTATTGAATTATATTCACAGGAAGTATTAAACATGTTACTTGTGTCCATTAAAAGTAAAATAAAATATTAGGGAAAGTACTCTCAAATTATTCTTTGCTTTATGGTTGCTGGAAAAACATTAAATAAATTAGGTGACTTTTTGCTTTTTAAATTGTTTACTAGGCCACAAAATTGTTAACAAGAGTGCAAAGTTCTTCATAGATCTAGCCTCTTTATTTTGCTTTTAAAATGCACCAAATGAATACACTTAACTTTAAAATGTACAATTTTTTCTTCCGCGGACCACCCGTGAGGGTCGATGTCCACCCACCATAGTCTCACAAAATCCTGTGGCGAACACTGCCTGCTGAAATGTCTGAAGTGTTAGCAGAAATGAAATCCCTGTCAGCTCATAATGAAATTTTTCAAGAAAGAAAGCAGGAAAAAAATACACCGTGATGTCCATAGACCGATGTGAAACATTCACTTTGTGTTTTCCTCCAGGCACCTGGCCCTATGGCCGAGATAGTTTTTTGGCAGGAGCGCACATCCATCCTGAATGCTCTGAGTGAGAAACTTAAACAGCCTGTGGTAAAGAAGATCTTGGAGGTGATGACCAAAGCAGATGCAGGCGTTATTCAGACCCTGGAAGGAACGGTTGCTGAACTGACTAAATACCGTGTGGAGTCAGATGATAATTTACGCTTCCTGAGCACACTGGAAAGATACTTCATGGTGAACTTTTTTTTTTAAATGCATTGTTGCTGAATATTCTTAACAATGTCTAACTGGAGGATAAAAAAAGGATTTAAAAAAAAATAAATGGTGACTGCAAAATTGTTCTTCAATCCTCATCTTCACTTTTATCAAAGTTACTGTTGTCTGTTGTAGAATCTGGCTACTGGAGTAAATTTTGGTGTGATCCTGGAGACTATCCCTCCCCTGATGAGCAGCCTGCAAATTGTGTGGATGATCTCTTGCCAC